GGAGTGCAGTGGAGGATGGCCCAGGTGCTTGGGCCCTGCACCCCATGGGAGACCAGGAAAAGCACCTGGCTCCTGGCTCCTGCCATCGGATCAGCGCGCCAGCCGCGGCGGCCATTGGAGGGTGAACCAACGGCAAAGGAAGACCTTTCTCTCTGTCTCTCTCTCTCACTGTCCACTCTGCCTGTCAAAAAAAAAAAAAAATATATATATATATATATACCAATTAGAAACTGCAAACCCTCATATTTAATGGAGGAAGTCCTCTTTCTAAGGAATTTGTACATATTCCCCTCGCAAATGACCCTGCATGTTGCTAAAGGAAGTTCATTGTCACAGCCTATACTGACTTTACCTGGTGCTAAATGGTTTCTTCAAAGCACTTGAGGCACATCGTGTAGCTCCATGGACCCAGTCCTCTTCTCTTCTATCTTGAAAAAGTATGCAGATGATTGCTTGAATGCCCGAATTACTTCTGGTGTGTGCCCTGGGATCAATTAATACCATCATCACCTATCATCACATAGGTTAAAATTCTAAAAGTCACTTTCAGCTTCCTTCTCTCTGTCATCCTCCCCTATACCCACCTGTACTGCTGACAAGTCCAATAAATTCTACCTCCAAAGTATGTCCCACTTTCATCTCCTAATTTGTATTTCACAGGCCCTCACATTCAGTGTCTTCCTGTGTTGAGGTTCTTATCACTTCAATTCACTGTCCACACTGGCTAGACCAGAGGGATCTTAATCCACTGCACTGCCATTTTCCTGCTGAGATCCTTGTCATCTATAATATGAAACTCTTTCACATTCACCTCAAACCCTCCCCAACCTGGCCCATGCCTACTTTTTGAGACAAACTCTATTAGATCTTCCCAACACCACTGAACCATGTTCTTAGACTTTGCCATGGCTCCATCCCCTTTTCTTCATTCCTCCAGACCCAGTTCAAATGCAAACTCTTCTGTGAATATTCCTAAGCATTCCAGAAGGAAATAATATTCATAATTCTTTTGTATGCCTCAATATACTTCTCATTCCTTTTAATGACACTTAATTAGTTCTTCCTTGTAATCAGTTACATCTCTCGTGGAATATATTTCTTTCATCTTTGGAAAGATGACTTACTCATCTTTGTACCTCTTTACCTCTTTCTACCATATTTCTCTGTCCAATGTTTTTCCTTGCTTATTTTTTTGTTTTGTTTTTTAAAGTTTTCTTATTTATTTGAACAGCAAACTTACAGAGAGAGGTCTTCCATCTTCTGGATCGCTCCCTAGGTGGCTGCAATGGCTGAAGCTGTGTCAGTCGTAAGCCAGGAACCAGGAGCTTGCTCCAGGTCTCCCAAGCTGGTGCAGGGGTCCAAGGACTTGGGCCATCTTCCTCTGCTTTTCCAGGCCATAGCAGAGAGCTGGGTCAGAAGTGGAGCAGCTGGAACACAAACCGTACTCATATGGGATGCCAGCACTGCAGGCGGCAGCTTTACCCACTATGCCACAGCGCCATCCCCACTTTTCCTTGCTAATAACATTATTGAGCACTATCTGCATTATATGAGGTTAGGACATAAGGGCTGGTGGAGGAAGACTCAAACTAAAATGCAATCCCTGCCTTCAAGAGAGTTTTTAATCTAGTCTGTGAGACACATTCACAAATAACCCAGACAAATGAAATATGAGTAATTGTGGGGGTGGAATTGGGTGGAGTTGAAGTTCTGAGTGGGGAACAAACATTCTCACTGTTCCAAATAGGAACACTGGTTTTATGACACAAGGATACGGTAGTGGGGAGGGGTAGAGGGAAAGAAAAGACAAGGCTGCTTTTAGATCACAATTCTATGCTGTACTCTTTATTATGGTCTTTTCTGGACCTGGTTGACCTAATCCATCCTTCCCATTAAACCAGAGTAATCTTCCTAAAGCAAAACTCTGATCATTTCACTCCTTATTCAAATACTTGGTACTGAATCAAGCATCAGATAATTAATTGCAGGTTTATGTTAGGAGTATAGAGATACCACTTTGTAGAGACAAGACAAATTCTAGGAAACAGCTAGAAAACAGAAGGCAAGATCATGCTGTAAAAGTGCTGTGGAGTGGGGTACAAAGTAAGAATGTGATTGATATGGGTTGAGATTAATCATAAAGGTTAATTGCAGGAGGTGAGCCTTAAGTGAATGACCACTTGGCAAGAAAGTTTAGATGTGCCAAGAGAACTTTAAGGTTGCTCTTAATTCTGAGACCATCCTCCATTAGTCTTTGAGTTGGTTTCTTTATGTTGTCAATAAATGCATTCTAAGCACGTAGATCTCTCCTTCTCTCCCTCTCCCTCTCCCTCTCTAAATATTTATTGAATGCCTTCTTTGTGCCAGGAACTCTGCTAAACACTGAAAATAAGAGACTTTGCACTTAAACTCGTACAGTATAATAGGGATAATGGATGTTAAACAAGTTAGGTGTAATAAAATGTGATAGATATATAATGGGAGGCTATATGATGCCATATTCTTAGACTACAGAGCAGGGAATCTAACAGCCTAGTCCCAGAAAATTATCCCTGAGAGGTGCTGTTTCAAGTAAGATTTCAAGGCTGTCTGGGAGTTAGCCAAAGGTGACTGGGCATCCAGGCAGAAGAACACCACGTGTGAAGGACTGGCATTAAAACAGTTTGGCATGTCTAAGGATCTGAAAGATACTCAAAAAGACTGCAACATGGAGTGCAAGTAGAAAGGTGGTGAAAAATTAGACTTGAGAGGTAGGTGAAGCTAGAATATGGAGAATTTTACTAAGGTATGTCAAAGAATTTATACTTCAACAATAGGCTTCGAGTAGCATTAAGTATGGGGTACTATGAAGTACACTAATAAATATTCATTGAATAGGGGATTAATGAGTAAATCTTTGCAATGGACCTGGACTTCTTGACTCAGATATGAGTACTGACTATTCTTATACAAAATGCCTGGGACCAGAAGTGTTTTTGGAAATGTGGATTTTAGAATATTTACAGATACAATGAGGTACTTGGGTATGGAGACCCAAGTCTAAACATGAAATTTACTGATACTTCATATACACCATATACACATAGACTTGATGCAACTTCTAAGGTATGTTTAAAACAATTTTGTGCATGCAACAGAATTTCATGAATTCAGATTTTCTACTTCTGGCATCAAGTTGGCATTAAAGTTTTAGATTCTGGAGCATTCCACATTTTGCATTTTTTAGATTAGGGATGCTCAAAACCTGCATTTACTCCAGGAAGTGGTGTTACTCTTATAAGAGGCATTGTCTGCTTAGGTTTTCCAAGCAGATTGAACTCATGACTCCCTAGAGATGGCCCCTATCCTTAGTAGTTGCTCTGAGTCACCTGGCTTAGCCCAGCAAATAGAAGGTAAGTAAATCTCCATCAAAGTCAAAGCTTTTCTACACAGAAGGATAACATTTTCCTGGCAATCATTTAGGCTTATGCTGCAAAATGGTAGCTTCTTTCTTTCTTAATCCTTGATAGAAAAAAATAAACCTGAATCTCAAGAGCATGAACATTCCCAAATTAGATTACACATGGCGATGCTTCCATGAACAAACACAGCCAGTGAGGCAAAGGGAGAATAGGTGTTCCAGAGAGAAATGTAGCCTTTCTAATAATTAAAAACAAACAAACAAACAAACAAACAAAAAAACAGAAAGCTAACTGGACCTCCTCCTTCAGACACCCAGACCTTGGAAATCTCAGCCTGGCCTCAGGTCCCATTTCTGGAACAGCTACTTGTTAGAACAGAGTGAGCTGTCAGGGGGTAAGGATGCCTCTAGGAAGGGGATTTATAGGAATGCAAGATGCCATGCCCAGGATCCTAAGTAATTGCCAGCTCAAAAATTAATGCTGTACCTTCTTTATTTATCATCAAGAGATATTACCCTGATTTGCTCCAGAGCAAATTTGATTTGGCTCTAGGTATAAATAACAGATCAGAGTCAGGGACTGGTATGAGGATGCAAAATTATTTCTGAAGTCATCACAGCAGCCAAACAACCATTTGGCAGAAAGAATCCCAATGGAGCTTTATGAGGACTCTTTATACTGTTGTTAGGGCCATGTGTATTTGGGGAGGGGGTATGCATGCATGCTCTCAATCAGTAAGGCCTCCCCAAAACAATAAAGTAGCCTGCAAAGGCCATTTGCCATTTTATTTCGGCAAGAGACATGGAAAATGCCTACATTTGCAGCTTTCTAGGAAATCTGGTTTATGTGTTTCATTAGTCATGTAAAGCATAATGCCGTGAAAAGAGCCAGGGACATCCATGTGTGGTTGCCATAGAGAAAGCCCTGGGATCTTCCCCCTTGAGCCTGAGTCCCATGTCTGCCAACTGCTTTCTTGGAACCTGCTTGGACAAAAACCTCAGCATAGGTCGAGCTGCCCTGATTGGATTTGGAGCTTTCTTAAGATGTCCACTTGCTCCTGCTGGGAGCTTGTAAGGGATTGCACAGGTGTCCTTGGTGAAGGGGGTATGGCTGTCACCTATGTACTTCTGGTCCCAGGCAGCTGTGAGAATAAGGTTCTGTCTGGCCCCAGAAGTGCTGTAGATCATTTGCAGTCACAGATTGCTGGATGGGCTCTGGGATGCCTGCCATTGATGTAATGCAAAGCTAACTGGCTGACTTGCTTTCCTTTTGCTCACCCCTGACAGTTCAGATTCAGTCTTGTTTGCCATGAAGCTTGTTGTCCCTGCATGCCGTTCCAAATGGTCCTCACAGACATAATAGGCTAAACACAAACTGAAGTCATGGGATCCTTTTACTACACCCACAAGACTGAGAAATCAAACCTTCCCCGGGCTGCAGCAGTGAGAATACACCTAGATTGTGAGCCAAGCTGTTTCCCTCTCCCCTTCTTGCCCTGTGCATCATTTGTGCTTTTATTGTGCATTAAGAGAAGCTTAGTAATCATGGACTTCAGCTCTTGCCTGTAGTGATCCTGTTCGCATTTTATTCTTCACACAGAATAGGAAGGAGATTCGCTTGCTTTGCGCAGAGGCTGAGCCACAGGAGAAAGCAAAGCCAATGTGATTTATTGAATGAAAGCACTGGACAATTATCAACAACTTGTTCCTCTGCTGACTCAAACAACCTCAACTGGTAAGTCAAATCTATTGTATTTCTTCATATGAATTTGGGGCTTTCTTGATCACTAATTATTTTTTTAAATGTGTTTGTACTGCTGTGGTTTAAATGACATTAAAAAATCGGCATCCTCCAAAGTTAGCTGCAGGCAGTCCATGAAGAACACACACGAGCACACACGCAGTGGTCTGTAGCAGTAAATACACATCCATGGGGGAGGTACGGTGGCAGAGGGAGCCTCATTTATGACCATTGGGCATTTTGTTTGCAGCACACTTAAATCACATTAACTGCTTGCATAACTGATTAGCATGAGCCATGAAAAACAAATTACTGTGTTGTTTTATGAAATAATTTGCAATTGGTTCCCAAGTACCTTTAAAATACCTGTTGGGTCAGCAAAGATATGTCCCATCCTGCTGATAATCCTGAATAAAAACCCAGGCACATTTCTGTCTTTAATCCACTTTGCAACCTGGGCATGCAGGGTAGACCAGCATTCTATCCATCCTAGGTGAGGGAGCCCACAAATAGTATCATGACCATAATGCTGAGGACACTTGTCAAGGGAGCATGATAGATATGCATTTAAAGCCTCACTCGATCCACTGCCACTTTTGCATGTATGTTCTCTAAATATTTTCTTTGTTCCAGTATGCAACATGGTTAGTAGCATGCTCTGGGCTCAAAGCAGGGTATCATAAGTGTCTTGATATCCATGCTGATTGTTCACCTGGGCAAGGCCATGGGGAGTACCACTGCATTGGTAATCAAAGATGAGTTTGCTTCTGTGCTGGGCTCCAAAAATCTCCTACTCCTTTGATTTCTTCATTTCCTAAATAAGATGTAAGCTAATCTCTACAGAGAAAAAAAAAACAGATGGAGAAAAAATATTGCTTTTCCTACCCACCCTAACTCACCCCCTCCAGTCTCCTTTTTTCTTTGGCCACCACAAGGCTTTATGGCAGCATCAATCCATCTCTGGTGAGCTCAGAGTCCATATAAATGTCATATAGCATTTAATATCTTTGGTGCATTCTATCTGCCATATATCACTGGCCATACAGAAGAGGCTGTGGCCTTGGTGTTGACAAAGATGGATGATGTTAGAGCAGTGAGCAGCATGCTTCTCTAAATAAAAACCAAAGTTAGGAAATCTGAGAGATGGGTGAAGTTTTGCCATGTAAAAAGGATCCCAGGCCACTCGACCACAACAGCAGGGGTGCTCTGCCACATTATCTGGCTACTTCACAAATGAATGGGAAGGAGACAAAATTGTCCACTGGTTAGAGGACTGGTGAGAGATCAGGATAGTATGGAACTATTGTGTGTTCTCACACTGTGTGCTTTGGGAATGTCCCTTGGCCTCCTTGCATGTCCATCTCTCTATTCTTTCCATTCCTGGTTGTTTCAAAGAACCCATGCTAAGCTCAGTTAACATATACATGAGATACTATACAAGCATTTTTGTTAAAGGCTGCATTAGGTAATCAAGATTTTATTTTTTTAAAAGATTTATTTATTTATTTGAAAGAGTTACATAGAAAGAGGAGAAGCAGAGAGAGAGAGAGAGAGGGAGAGAGGTCTTCCATCCAATGGTTCACTCCCCAGTTGGCTGCAATGGCCGGAGATGCACCTATTAGAAGCTAGGAGCCAGGAGCTTCCTGCAGGTCTCCCACGCGGATGCAGGAGCTCAAGCATTTGGGCCATCTTCTTTTGGTTTCCCAGGCCATAGCAGAGAGATGGATAGGAAGTAGAGCAGCCGGGTCTCAAACCCGCGCCCAAATGGGATGCCAGCGCTTCAGGCCAGGGCATTAACCCGCTGTACCACAGCGCCGGCTCTATTTATGTACTTTAATCCATAGACATTCATCAGGAAAGCACAGATGAACATGCATGTAGGGATGAGGAGATGTGCTTTCCTTCCCCCATCTAAGAGATACAGAGCACAGTGGAAATTTGGGGGTTAGATGGGGAGACCAGAATTGAAAAGAAGCATTCAGAAGACTCCAATTCAAATAAATGGGTTATAGAAAATGGGATTTTTTTTTTTCATTTCCCATGCTTACCATTTCAAGATCCTAAAGATTGTAATTGTGTTGAAACAAACAGGCGGGGCCAGCGCCGTGGCTCACATGGTTAATCCTCCACCTGCTGCGCCGGCATCCCATATGAGCGCCAGGTTCTAGTCCCGATAGCTCCTCTTCCAGTCCAGCTCTCTGCTGTGGCCTGTGAGGGCAGTGGAGGATGGTCCAAGTGCTTGGGCCCCTGCACCCACATGGGAGACCAGGAGGAAGCACCTGGCTCCTGGCTTCAGATCAGCGCAGCGCTGGCCGTAGCAGCCATTGGAGGAGTGAACCAACAGAAGGAATACTTTTCTCTCTGTCTATAATTCTAAAAAGAAAGAAAAAGAAAGAAACAAACAGGCAAGTACGTTTCATAGGGTAATTCAGATGTGGGGGAGGGAGCAACCGTGTATAGAACTTAGTCGACTTTTAGTTACTCAAATTACTCCCATTCCCATGCACATGGAATTAGTAGTTCCAAGTGTGCTGTGATTTGAGAAGTTCTAGAAGGCTTATTCCCCACCCCCCATATACACACACAATTGTACCACTTAGGGTACCTGAAATTATTTCATCAGAGAGTCAGTGAAGTATTGCTGTATTTTATAAAATATAAACATTTGGAAGAACAATAAATTAAGCCACTGATACCTTATTATAAATGAATGTATTAAGCTTTTTACCTCAAGTGTATCCCAAATGATGTTTAACATTTGTTATTACAAGGCCGGCGCCGCGGCTCACTAGGCTAATCCTCCGCCTAGCGGCGCTGGCACACCGGGTTCTAGTCCCGGTCGGGGTGCCGGATTCTGTCCCGGTTGCCCCTCTTCCAGGCCAGCCCTCTGCTGTAGCCAGGGAGTGCAGTGGAGGATGGCCCAGGTGCTTTGGCCCTGCACCCCATGGGAGACCAGGAAAAAGCACCTGGCTCCTGGCTCCTGCCATCGGATCAGCGCGCTGGCCGCGGCGGCCATTGGAGGGTGAACCAACAGCAAAGGAAGACCTTTCTCTCTGTCTCTCTCTCTCACTGTCCACTCTGCCTGTCAAAAAAAAAAAAAAAAAAAACATTTGTTATTACAGTAATTATTCTGCTTTCTGTTTACTTCATTCTTGTCTTTAAGAACATTCCAGTAGCCTTTAGAGCAAGTCATTTCCATCTTTTTTATAGAATATTTGGATTAGACATTATCACCTAAATTTAGTTATAAACTCTTCAATGCCACATTGTGAAGAGCCAAACTCACTATCTGTTCCCATTCTAAACCCATTTTTCCACCTATATGTCTCTCTCATATTTTTTAAATTATTGGCAGAACTATGTTGTACCCCATCAACCAATGAGAATTAAAAACATTATCCTGAGCTTTCTTGAGTCCTTTAGCATCTCCATCCAATCACTAAGCAAGTTCTGCCCATCTTACTTCCTTTATCTTTTAAATCTATGCTTCCAGCTCTCTCTCTCCCTGTTGCCACAAGCTGCATTTAAGGTCACCAGCTCTCAGGGCTTTTTCAAGAGTCATTCCTGGTTTTCTGCTACCTATGTTTCCAACCCCTCCCCTTTCCAGCAATCTTCTGGCTGCTACCAGAGTAACTGTCTAAAGCTGCAAATGCAAACCTCAACTTTTACTTAGAGCTCTCTAGAGCTCCCCTAATGTATATAGTTCAAATCTGCATTTCTTGTCACAGCATATAGGCCCTGAATGGTCTAGCCCTGCTGAATCTCCAGGTTTCCCTTCCTAAGTCCCAGCATGGCTGGTGAAATGTTACCACTGTGACTGTCAGAGCCAAGATTTCAAATAGGATTCCCAGTGGAATTGATATGTCAACACCACCATGACCTTTCCTATCTCCATACCTTAACCTGGGCCTTTATACCCAGAATGCCCTTTTCTTTCCTTCCTGCTAGTTGATTCCTTAATTCATCATTCACAATCCCTCTCAGGCATCATCTTCTCCCATGGCCACCTTTGATCATTCACAATGTCAATCACTCACCTAACTCTGTAATTTCTGTCCCAGGCTTTTAGGCTGACTGAGTTTGAATCCCAGATCTGCCCTTGAGAGGTATCCTATTGTTTAAATTGGAGATAATAGTAATCCTTCTGGGCAGCCCTGTAGTGCAGTCGTTAAGATGCCACTTGGGACGCTCACATCCCATATCAGAGTGCCTTTTTCAAGTTCTGGCTATTACACTTCCAACCCAGCATCCTACTTGTGCACATTGGGCAGCAAATGATGGCTGAGGCACGTGGGTCTCTGCTACCCATGCAGAAGAACTGCACTGAGTTCCTGACTGTTGGATTCAGTCTGGCCCAGCCCTGGGTGTTGCAGGCATTTGGGGAGTGTATCAGGAGATACAAGATCTCTCTCCATCTGCCTTTGAAATAAAAATTTTTAAATAGTACTTTCTTTACAGGACTCTTATGGGATTCAGTAGGCTGGTCTATGGAAAGCCAATGAACTGAATGCTTATGCTGCCCCTCCCCCACCCCCAAATTCATATCTTAAAAGCCTAACTGCCAAGTTGATGATGTTATGAAATAAGGCCTTCAGTCGAGAGGGCAGAGTTCTCATGACTGGGATTAGTGCCCTTATAAAAGAAATCCCAGAGAGCTAGCTGGTCCCTTCCACTCTGTGAGGATACAGTGAGAAAGTAGGCCTTCATCATTCAGTGAATCTATTGGCACCTTGATATTGACTTCCCAGCCTCCAAAACTGCAGGAAATAAATTTCTATTGTTTATAATCTGCCAGTTTATAATACCAGTTTATGGTATTTTATTGTAGCAGCCCAAACTACGACAGGCATTATTCTAGGTGGTACTGGCTCCCAGAAAGTGCTACAGAAGTATAGCTATGTTACTAGTCCATGATTTCAGATAACATACTATTTCATAACTATACATTTACATAACTGTCTTCCTTTCTGGCCTATGAGCTCCTTGGAGACAGG